GGGGGGGGGGGGGTTAACCACCCAACTTTTGTAGAATTAACACATTCGGAAAATCGGGTTGGCCATTCGGAAAATTACGGCAATAATAGTATAACAGAGAAAATATTATAAAATGGTATTGTCAGTATAAACCATTGGTATAAACTGATTTACGAAATCACGGCATTTACATGGATAACGTATAGTCTAGGACCTGTATATGAGTTTGTATGCGATTCATTTAGGACAGGTAATCTCAACTGTTTTAGGGTAAAATGACCATGGCGGTCAACATGGCATATGTGCGAAAACCTGAATCCGGGGCGAAAAGTCCTGAAAATGACCCCGCCCTGAAACGGCAGTGTCGACATAGCTCTAACTTCCGAAAGGGAAAACCGATAGCCTTTCTGAAGTGCCTATGGTGTTTAGAAGGGTTGCTTTTAAGGGTAGTCATTAGAAGGAAAAATTTGTCTAAGTATAGTATTTTACCAGAAAATGCTATGCACCACCCCAGTTAAAATGCTGATTATGCACAAAATAACTAATATGCCTTGCAGAAATGAAATATTTTCTTATTTCCACCTACTGTACACTGGAGTACAGACCGTTTAAGTAAGCTTTTTAAGTAACCATGTTGCCATTGCAGTACTTCACTTATAGACTATATATCGTAGTGATTGCAGATCTTTCAGATTGGTGTGAGTTACTGTGTATTTTTCCCAACTCAAGTTGTCACAATAAAAATGTTTGAAGTGTTGGATGCGTAACACCTCCGACTAAAAAGCAGGTTAAGGTGGCTCCCTACAGTTGTTGAGAAATGGCAGCAAAAAATAATGTCTTCACAAAGACGGGAAATAATTTAAGTGCTATTTATGCAAAATGGGGAATTTTTTGAAAGTATAAACGCTTGTGCAGTCTTTATACTTGAAGTACATTAGTTCGAAAGAATCAAATTATGTGTTGCTATGGTAACAATGTGGCCCAAGCGACAGCAGTCAGACATTAAATTTTACACTAAAAATGAATTTATTAAAATTTCCTTCGGTCAAAGTTTCTAAAATTTGATAGGGATAAAGGCAGTATCTAGTGGGAGATTATATCAAAAAATTAGGTGGAGTTATAAATTGAACTTTTGAGATATCACACAAAATGTGTTCCACAAAAACTGCTTTATAGAATTTTTCAAAAATTGAGTATATTGAACTAAATGTACTACTACTTTTAAAAAACAAAATTTCAGAAAAATTTACCGAAGGAAAAATAAGTTACTGCGCTTCAAACCTTGTGTGGCAAGATGAAATTTTTGCTGACGTGATTTTGTTTCAACTTTACAAGCTCACTTTTTGAGCATACACGTCGGGAAAACTTTTCAAAAGGGGCCATTCACAAAATACGTGACGCTCAAGGGGGTGGGGGGGGGGTGTTAGCAAAAGAGTCACATAATCACACATGGGGGTGGGGGAGTTATTACAGCAGCGTCACGTGACAAGAGCTTAATGACACTCGACAATGTTAACATATGTATTAAAAATTAAATTCAATGACTTGGTTTCAAATAAATTGGTATTTGTAAATATCACTAAAACGTTTCAAAAACAAAAAGTGAGTCAAAGAAATACAATTGTGAATATAACATGAAGTATTTCATTGATACTACCTCTTGCAGGCTCAAAATTACATCAATCAAGCGGGAAAATAAATAGAAGCAAAGCATTAAAGGCTTAAAGCGAGAACTATAATACTGCCCAATAAAAATGAGCGATGCATTTAAGTTACACCTTAAGTTACATTTTAGTTAACTAAATTCTGTTTATCAACTTGGACGTTTCAAATTTTTGCTTTCTTATCTTTAATTGAAGGGGGGGGGGTATTTGATCAGGAGTCACGTAATTTTTTAGGGGGTATTTTGGCAATCGTCACACAACGTCACATAGGGGTAGGGGGTCTGAAAAATTGGCTAAAATAGCGTCACGTATTTTGTGAATGGCCCCAAACATCTTTAAAAACTGCAAGTTTGACTTTTCATCTTTGCCAAACTTTGATCTTTTCATAAAATTTATAAATATAGGACTTTAGTTTTAATTCACTTGTTTAAAAAGATAAAGCACTACATATAAATGTGGTAATTTAAGTAGAATGACAGGAGTTTGTTTAAAATACATTTATTGATTTAATATAAAATATCAATTTTAAAAGAACATTATAAACACGATATTGAACGTAAAAACGTATAAAAACACATTAAAAGATAGCGTAGAAACTGGGAGACAACCTACGTATAGTTTGAATTTCAAAAATTTGCAATTAACCTGAAAAACTTGCGTTTTCTTCCTTGACATAAAGTTTGAAAACATACGGCTTTTTTCAATTTTTTTCGATCCGAAGATTCCGCCACAGATTCCGCGCCACGCGCGTGTTTCCACTTTTAGAATTATCGTGTTTCCATTTTACAATCGTTTTTTCACTTCTAGTCAACTGTTGGGAGCCACCTTAAGACTAATCACCACTTCAATTTTTTGAGGTATCTATGTATAAACAATGTTTAACTTAACCAAGGCACCTATACTTTTTAACAGAGACCTTGTACTGGCAAAGCGTAAAGGACAGACGACTGAAACGTTGATGTGTTACCTATCAGGAAATGCAGCTAATCTAATAACAACTAAATCTGACCACAATGGCAAAATATCACTAACAACACAGTACACTGATGATGCGGAATGTAAGCCCAATAGCAATATTAAATTAAAAGGCAATCGTCCGTTTGACTGCAAACCAATAAAGCAGGAGATAAATGAAAAGAAATCAGGGTCGGACTGGACACCTAAGAAAATTACTGTCGGTTGTAAAGTTGTCGTCGTAGGCTAGATGCGGGACAGAAAAAAAGATGCTGCACGGACCAAAACTTGTGAATAGAACTTGTATGAATTATTGATAACATTTATGGATATATTTCTAATCAATTATATCCTATTTAATTTATTTATGAGTTATGACAAGCATTCCGCACAACTCATTTTTCATAGATAGCTATTCAATCTATTTTATAGTTGTAAGTACTGCATGTATTAAGGCAAAAAAATAAAAACTGTGCAATTTCATATTGAGTCTATTTATTTATTTTCCTTTCCGTCTTTTATCCCTGGACATAACACTTGTTATTACATATTTAAATTTTGATTTCAGTCAAACTCCTTATAAACTGAAGACACATTTTTTGTGGTTGTTTCACACGAGCCCGGCTTGCCTGGATTACTGATCGCTGGGATGAGACGTCAGCTGGGCTGAGGTGGCTGAAACATTAGCAAGCAAAAAGCTGGCGGGAAAAATTTGTTCACGAGTTAATGCTGTATGGTTTGTCACGAAAGTCAAATTATGTTTTATTGAGCGAATTTTCCATTAAAAACTACTTTATCAGCAAAATTAACTTAAGAAATAAGGGGTTATCCGGAAAGATATCTACAGGGCCCGCGGAGCGTATTAGAGAGTGGGGGGGCTAAATCATCAATAAAACCCCCAAGGAAAATGTTCAATTTTCTATTACCTTAAACGCTATTTCCTGCATTTTTGGAGGAACTTTAGCAAAAAATCTCCAAGACCATCGTCATAAAAAGTAACAAAATTTAGACCTTTTACAAACTTAAGTAAAAATAGTAAAAATAAAGTAAAAATAAAGGCAGTTTCAACTCCAATGCGGAAACTTTGCAAAAACCATATGAATATAAATAATAATTTCGTTTCGGAGCACGTGGCTGTGTTGAAGGGAACTTCATGTAAGGTACACATAATGGGGTGCTTAGCCTTTATTCATTTTAATTAGATGCGAAAGTTAAAAATGCCTAGAAAAGGTTTAATTAATTTAGAAAGTTTCATTTAGATTTCTATTTTAATATTTTTGGCTGTCAAAAAAAGTGGGGGGGCTAAAGCCCCCCCAGCCCCCCCGTCTCCGCGGTCCCTGATCTACAGTATAGGCTACTTCTATAAGCGCGTGGTTTTTGTGCTGACTTTATATGGACAAGTTTCAGCCAGGCTGACCAGGCGTCCTGTTTGAGCCAAACGAGATCCCTGTTCATCGGGGCTAGCCGGGTTTTCATATAAAATGAAATTGCTTTGTATAGGAAATTATTATGAAGCTTGTCGCACCGTCCTCTAGACTCAATGTTAATAAAAACTATTATTATTTTGTAAAAATTCAGAATTGAAAAAATATCTTTCAAGCGTTCTGACTGGCTCCCTCAGCAGTAACTCTGAGGCAATAGATACTGCTCAGACTGCTCTGAGCATGCAGTAACTATTGCTTTCAAAACAAAATGGCTGCCGAAATCCACTTGCAAACAAATCATGCAAGAAAAAATTGATGAAATTAAAGGCACATACCATAAAATTAATAACAGAACATAACGACAATAACATTCCGACAGCTGAATTGGTTTAATAATAATCTTCCATAGCTATATTTTAAGTTAAAAAGTACAATAGGTTTACAAATATGATAAGAACTATAATAAAATTACAATGTAATTACAAATATAAATATGACAAATTACAAATATAAATATGACAAATATCTTTTGCGCAACAATATTTCCCAGTTTGTCCCTGGCTTTAAGGGATATTTATATAAATTCTTAAAATACTCTGAATGGATCTTTAATGTATTATTGAATAACTATCAACTATGCAAGATCTGTTTGGCGCTTCTTAAACTGTGCGTTTCATCCATCGCTTAAGTATATTCTATAGACACCAATCTTGGATTTGCACCAACTTTTCCATTCGTTCCAACCATCTTTTCCAACCGACGAAACCGGGCTGCACCAGTGAAGGACGTTTAACTGTGAAATCAACATCTCCCAGGCACCAATTCGGGGAAAGAGTGTTTCAAAAGAGAAACTCCAAAGGCGAAGTGAAATTGTTCTATTGTGACTGATAGGTATGCATGAGAAAATTGATCTTTGAATTCAGTCATGATTTTAGTTTTGCCTGCAAAATGCATAAACAAAGCAAGAATAGGCCTAAAATATATTTATGGTTCTGGGTCACATTGTTTTAAATTTAGATTTTTATTCTTGAATCATAAAAATCACTTCCTTAAATATAACAAACTACTTGTCATTTTGAAAACCTTGTTCAGTTCTTGAGTATATACTTTAAAATTCTAGACTTGTCTGTTAGCAGATGAAACAACTTCATTGCCAAATGTAAACAAAGCAAGGATTATACTTACATTGATATCTCGCAATTTGCCAAAATGATTCATGGTTCATGAATCAATATAATGTCACACAGAAGCAAATCGGGTTTTATAATAGGTTTACGGTCGAAT